TTAAGGATGAGTAGGAGTTGGCTGGCTGTGGAGCTGCTGCCCACATAGGTCCTGGAGCAGGTGCAGGGCTGAGGGTAGCTGTGGGAACTAGAGAAATGAGGTTGGGGGGCACATTAGGGAGTAGTACCATCAGGTTGGTCTGCTTCTGTGTAGGGCAAAGGCAGCTGTGACTGCAGGTGCTGTTACAGTGTCCCTGAGCAAGGCTGAGGGTCACTTGGGCCAGGTGGTGTCTGGGGGGATGGAGAGGAGACAGGTTTCAGAAGAACGCAGGGGGCTTGGCTATAGCTTAGTGGTAGAGTATCTACCTAGCATGCACAAGGCCCTGGGTTTGAGCCCCAGCACTGCAAAACAACAAAACAAATGCCAGAAGAATGTAGAAAGCTGAACATGGTAGCTACTCAAGAGGCAGAGGCAGAAGGACCTCGATTTGGGGACTACTTGGGCAGAAGTAATCAGACCTCATCTCAAAAACAAAAACACAGAACAGGCTGGGGGTATGGCTTAAGTGGTAGAAGCCATGCTCAAGGCCCTGGGTTCAATTCCCAGTACTAAAAACAAAAACAACAACAAGAGCTGTGAGCCCTGCTTGGATGACAGAGGGAAAGCCAGGAGGCTGGCCTGGGTGGCTGGGTGGCTGGGGTGGGCATGTATAGACAGGGAAGCACAAGGAAAGGAGGGAAGCCCACAGGATCTTACAGCCATACAGCTGGAAGGAGCCTAAGGGAACCCCTAACTCCCACAGAGGTGGGAACCAGAGGGGTTCACAGAGTCCCACGTGGGTTCATGGCAGGGATGGGACAGAAGCCAGTACTCCTTTCCTTTCTGAGTCCCTGGAGTCACGCAGCCCCATTTCCTCAGGAGCCAGGAGCGCCTTTCAACATGTCCCCATCCTGTCCCCACTTTCTCTATGCAGGTCATTCCAGACTGGAAGGAGCAGGAGTGGGACCCCGAAAAGCCTGACGCCTATGCTGGCATCTTCCACTTCCACTTCTGGCGCTTTGGGGAGTGGGTGGACGTGGTCATTGATGACCGGCTGCCCACGGTCAACAACCAGCTCATCTACTGCCATTCCAACTCCCGCAACGAGTTCTGGTGTGCTCTGGTGGAGAAGGCCTATGCCAAGTAGGTGCGGCCGTGGCTGGGCTGGGGGGCCATGCTGGGTGCTGCTGCTGCTGGGCTCTGTGGCTTTTTCCTTAGCCAGGGCTCCAGGCACAGATAAGTGAGGGTCTGGTGTAATTGCACACAGTGTGCTCAGAGCCCAGGTCCCATGGTATGGTCAGCTAGGCTGCACTGAGCAGGGTGGAGGCCTGGACCCTGTGAGGGGAAGAGTGGGTTGTCCTGCAGTAGTGGGGCAGGGCCAACAGTCACATTCATGGTCATGGGGAAGCTACCTGGGGCCTTTGCTGGGGTTGTAGTACCTGAGGTCTGGCCTGGGTGGCAAGGATGGGCCAGTTGCCTGCCTTCCCTGCTTGCAGGCCTCCCCTTGTCCTCTCATCCTCTGTCCACTAGACTGATTGTCCCTCCATCTTGTCTTTGCTGACACCTCCTTCTCTGTGTACCAGATCCTGTGTCCCAGTGCCCAGTAAGGGCTTGGCACGGAATGGGTGGAGCAAAGGTCTGCTGAGCTGTGGAGGGCTCTGGGGCAGGAGTGCCAGTGGGCTCAGACCAGCCCAGCCAGCTTGCTGGGAGCCTCTCCCTGCTTCCTCTTCCCAGGCCATTTGTCCCTTGGAGAATGTTTGCATGAGAGAGAAGAGAGAGGAGAGAGAGGAGAGGAGGAAAGAGAGCACGTGAGCACAAGAGGTCTAAAGTCCTCATGAAAGGGAAAAGAAAAACAAAAACAAAAACAAACCCCCCAAACCACATTTTCACCCTAAGAAAGCAAAGCCTGTCCCCTAGTGGCCACTGCATCTCTGTGGCTCTTCTCCCTCTGAAGGACCTGCTTCTTTGTTCTTTTGTTTTGTTTTTTTTGGGATTTTAAAATTTGTGTTTTGTTTTGGGTTTTGTAGGGCCAGCACTCTACCACTGAGTTATAGCTCTAGCCCTTGGTTTTGTTTTTTTGACAGTTCTATTGTGGTAGAAGACACATGACACAGTATTTCTCATTTTAACCACGTGTAAGGCTACAATTCAGCAGCATGTAATGAATGCCCACAATGGCCAATAGATCCACCCGAAACCTCACGTCAGCTCCAAAAGAGGTTTTTCCCCACTGAACCATACCTCCTCTTCCCTCCCCCCAGTCCCTGGGAACCCCCGTTCTGCTTTCTCTCTCTGAATTTTCCTATTCTAGGCACAGGTATAAGAGGGATCCCACACAGTGTCGGTCCTTCTGTGTCTGTGTTTGCCTTCTTTCACTTAGCATGACATTTCCAAGGTCCGGCCGTGTTGCGGCATCTATCAGAATTTCCATTCTTTGTGGTGCAGTGACACCCACTGCACCTTGGTTGATGGACACTTGGGTCGCTTCCACCTCTTGGCTGTGGTGAATAGGCTACTGTGAACATGGGCGTGCGAACGTCTGTCTGTGTCTCTGCTTTACTGTTGAAGATACGTCTAGTAGTACAATTGCTCGGTCCTGTGTGGGTCCGTGTCGAACTTTCTAGGCAGTTGTCAAACTGTTTTCCACACATACGGAAGCTATTTTCCACAGTTTATGCTTCTTGCTTTCTTTTTTTTTTTTTTTAACATTTATTTGCTTTTAAAATTACAAAACGAACCCATGCCTGTTATAGCAAATCCAGAAGACCTTCTCTTTCCCTGCTTTGGGCAATCTGAGTTCATCCACAAGCATCATCGTGGTGGGTTCAAGACCCCTCCCAGCTCTGTGGCTCCAGCCACCCCTTTGGTGTCCCCCCGCCTTTCCCCACCAGTGACAACTTTTAGCATCTTTAATGCAGTTTTGTTTGTAGTTGTCCTTAAAATCCCACCTTGCTGTTTTATGGGTATGTATTTCAAATTACACAAATGGTATTGTTTCCATCTTTCTTCTCTCATTTCTACTTACTACTATGTTGTCACAGGGTGGATGCTTAATAAATTTTTAAAGCCCCTCCCAGCTCCCAGGAAACAAGACATTTCACATGATTTGTCCTTCCCAGCAAGTAAATATTTTTTAAACATAATTGGCATCCAGCTGTGTTGCTTTTTCAAACATAGCACGCACTAGCATTTTCCCTAGCACAGGAATTCTTTTCTGGTGTTTTTGTTCCATGACTGCCTAATGTTCCAGGGTGCAGATGCAGCATTAGTTTAAAGCCAATTCCCTTTTGCTGGACATTTAGAATATTTCTGGTTTTCATCATTGTAAATTTTAGAACTTATCCAGAATTGGTGTGTCCAAAGACATAAGAGCTTTTAACGCTTTTGAAAAGAATTGCGAGGTTTTCAGGCAGCTAATTTGTAAAGATCGAACACCGAGGCCTAGGGAAATTTGAGTCACAGAATGGCGTGGGTTCATTGAGACAAATCTTGGCCTGCAGATCAAGGCGTGGGCTCTAGTGGTGGCTGTGTGACCACAGCAGTTTGTTTGACCTCTCTGAGTTTCAAAACTCTCTGCTGTGAGGTGAAGGACTGAAACTGGCCAAGGAGCATGAGCGGGGAATTCTTTCCACGTTGCTCCCCAGGCTGGCAGGCTGTTACCAGGCTCTGGATGGAGGCAACACAGCCGACGCACTGGTGGACTTCACGGGCGGCGTTTCTGAGCCCATCGACCTGACCGAGGGAGACCTCATCAATGACGAGACCAAGAGGAACCAGCTCTTTGAGCGTGTGCTGAAGGTGCACAGCCGGGGGGGCCTCATCAGCGCCTCCATCAAGGTGAGAACCCGAAGCAGGTAGCGGAAGAGGGAAGGGATCCCCCGGGGCGGGCTGGTCTGGGGCTGGGGTCTCAGAGCATCATCTGGCTTCATTTATCGCTCAGGTTTTAGATAAGAATGCTGGGCTCGGTGAAGGCAGGATTTGAACCCAGGTTTAGCCAACCCTGTGGTGCCTAGAAACAGGAGAGCCCTGATTTGTAGCATTTGCTGACTTTTTTATTTTATTTATTTATTTTTTGGCGGTACTGGGGTTTGAACTCAGGGCCTCACGCTTGCTAGGCAGGTGCTCTACCTCTTGAGGCACTCTGCCAGCCCACATTTGCTGATTTTGATGGTGTGAATACCCCCACAGTGGTCGAGTTCCCGGTACCCATGTTTTAACAGTCAGCTCTCGAAATTGCTGAATATTTAGCAATCAGATGAGCCAGGGGAGGTCCGTTCCAACACACCCCTGTGCTGGCCCCACTGGAAGTCGCTTCCTGTGTGTAGACTGCTGGCCCCGGGACTTGGAAAGGCCTGGGAGCACAGTTCTGTCCCCTTCACAGCAAGCAAGCGCTCCCTTTGTGTGGGGCTGAAGTTCCAGTCCAGCCCTGCAGGGGGCATTGCAGCCCCCCACCTCGTTGTAGCCCCTGTGCCTGGGTTTGGGTTCTGGTGTGGCCTTGCCTCTCTGAACACCCATGTCCTCCCGCAGGCTATGACAGCAGCTGACATGGAGACCCGCTTGGCATGCGGCCTGGTGAAGGGCCACGCATATGCTGTCACCGATGTGCGCAAGGTGCGCTTGGGCCACGGCCTGCTGGCCTTCTTCAAGTCGGAGAAGCTGGACATGATCCGCCTGCGGAACCCCTGGGGCGAACGGGAGTGGAACGGGCCCTGGAGCGACACGTGAGGCCCAGGGATGGGTGCAGGCATGAGGGTTTGGGCAAGGACAGGGGGGCTTCCTGGAGGAGGCAACACTGGGTTGCATCTTGAGGGTTCTGGGGGAAAGGACATTGGGAAAAGAAGGGAGACTTATTTTCATGAGTGGGGGGTGGTGGATTCTGCAAGGGCTGAGACCTGGAGCTGGGGTGAGCTGACCTGTAGAGATATAGAGGCCAGTGTGGGGTGTGGGTGGGGAGGAGAGCAGGAAGGGAGGCCAGCAGGACTGTGAATGGGGCTGATGCTCTGTGCAAAGGAGGGCACCCTCCTATGAGGGTCATATCCCCTCATTCTGGGTCTGCAGCTTTGCTTCAGACAGCCCACAATTCCCTGTGGAACAGGGCAGATGGGCTTCTCCAAGTGGAGCTGGGCGTGACCCAGGTGTCTCTAACCACACTGCACAGAGGGTGGCCTGGCGCTGAGCTATCCCTTAGGGGTGGTCCTGGTAGGCCCCTCCTCAAATTGCTTCCTCTTTTCTCTCCTCGCATCCCAGCTCAGAGGAGTGGCAAAAAGTGAGCAAAAGTGAGCGGGAGAAGATGGGAGTGACTGTGCAAGACGATGGCGAGTTCTGGTGAGTGTGCTCATGCCTCAAGGTCCGGACTGACAGGAGCTTCCTGGAGCCCAGCAGGGAGCATCTGGTGGGGAGTCATATAGGGGGCCTAGCACAGCCCATTTTCAGCTTGCTGTGTGGCCTTGGACAAGTAAAGCCATCTGTCTGAGCCTCAGTTTTTTCCTCTGTAAAATGAGTTGGGCAGTCATGGCCCTTTTCTGCTGGGCTGAAAGTGCCCTCTGCTTGCGCGAGTGGACCCAGGACTACTCTGGTACCTAGGTTGAGCCCTTGGCAAGTAGGTCATGGTGCCAGCAGGTGAGAGGAGTGACCTGAGCACAATGGTGTGCTGGTGGTCTAATTGCCAAGAGTAACTAGGGAAGAGGAGCTAGCTGCTCAGCTGAGACTTGGGGTGCAGTGCAGCCTTTGTGGGCAAGCAGAGAGAGAAGGCCCAGTGTGAAAAAAGTGAGTTCAGGGTAGAGAGGAGTTAGGGGGCGTGGGTGTCAAGCAGGAGAGCCCAGTAGCCTAATAGGCTTGCATCCATTCGTCTGCATCCACCTCCTTGGGTCCATTCCCCTGTTCTCATCCCACCCGTGTCCATTTCCCTGCATCCATTCCACTTGTGTCTGTCCACCTGCACTCGTTTTGTCACCATGCCAGGCTGTGCTGTTCTGCAGCAGCACATTTGATTTGGAGACTTAACCACTTCCTCAGGGTAGGGGGGGTACAAGGTGCCCTGTGTGAGGTCAATGCTATGAGAACCCCCAAGCAGATCGGGGGTAGATGGCAGTGATCCTGGCACCCCAGCAAGGACCCCTCCTGCAGGTTCCAGTAGAGCAGCTGCAGAAGGGCCAGCCCTCACTGAAGGTTCCTATGGATATGATCAGTGTTGCCCAGTCTGGCTCAGGTCACTTGAATGAGAACAGCCAAAAGGCTAGCTGTAAAAAGGGCTGCCTTCTATAATGCCCTTCTTGTGCATGCTCACGCTCCATGCAACTCTCCTAACCCCAGTAAGTCTCTTGAAGTACACACAGGATGTAGTGACTGTAGCAAAGCCCTGGCCATTGCCACACACTTGCCATGGGGCACCCACCATTTATTCAGGCCTCTCGGCATCCGTGCAGGACAGTGGATGGGAACTGGCTTTACAAACTGTACAGAGCTACACATTAGTGTGTGTGTGTGTGCTGCTGGGGATCAAACCTAGGGGCCTTGTGAATACGAGATAAGCGCTGTACCACTGAGCTACGCCTTCAGTCCCTCATTAGTAGTTAATATTAATAGTCGTAACAGCCAGCTAGCGCCAACTGCTGGGTCCGTCAGAAGTTGTCCTGCGTGCTCTTATTGCATTATTTAATCCCTACACTGGCTCTGTGAGACGAGCAATTGTTGGTAAATTCATTTGCATTTTACAAATGAGGAAACTGAGGTCGAAAGGGAGGTTAAGGGTCTGTGTGGTGCCATATCCAGCTCACTCCTGTGAGGCTGTGGTTCAGAGCAGATGGGGGGACGCGCGGGACAAGGGGGCGTCACAGGACGGGGACATCGACTCAGCCCCTCCTCACGCCCAGGATGACCTTTGAGGACGTGTGCCGGTACTTCACGGACATCATCAAGTGCCGCCTGATCAACACGTCCTACCTGAGCATCCACAAGACATGGGAGGAGGCCCGGCTCCACGGCGCCTGGACGCAACATGAGGACCCACAGAAGAACCGCAGTGGTGGCTGCATCAACCACAAGGACACCTTCTTCCAGAACCCACAGGTGGGCATTCCCGGGGACCCCATGCCCTGCCGGGGGCTCCTGCATGACCCGGGGTACATCCCTGTGCATCCATGGACCTCAGCATGCCCATCTGTACAGTGGAGTTGGGTGGACATGTCAGTCTCCAGCCTCACAGTCTGGCCTGCAGATGGTGACAGTGAAGAAACTCTGACTGTCAGAGACTTTAGACTGAGGTGGGGATCAAACTCTTGTTTCCACAACAGCCCCGCCCCGCCCGTTTCTAGGTAGCTCAGGGCCCAGCCAAACCGGGCTCCTCACAAGAGCCCCTCCCCTGCAGTTTCCTTGGTCACAGTGATGGCAGCTGTTTAGTCCTCAGGTCTCAGTTGCCTTTATTGAGCACCAACTACATGCCAGGCTCCAAGCCTTCACACAGGGGCTGGTGTAGGCACTGGCAGGCCCATGCCATAGACGAGGAACCATGGCTCATGTTGCTCAAAGTGGCTGGCTCAGCCTGGCTCTGCTGTGGCCTCACTGCATGTCTCTCTCCTTCACCACTCTGCAGTACATCTTCGAGGTCAAGAAGCCAGAAGATGAAGTGCTGATCTGTATCCAGCAGCGGCCCAAGCGCTCCACCCGCCAGGAGGGCAAAGGCGAGAACTTGGCCATTGGCTTTGATATCTACAAGGTAGGCCAGCAGGAACCCCTGCTGATGGCAAAAGGAGTGAGGGATGCTAAGGCCTGGGGAGAACACTCTGGAACACCTTGGTCACTGACATCACCCCAGCTACTCTGACTATGCTGGCTGACATCATGAGGATGCAGTGGTGTGAGCCCTGTTGGGAAAGTCCACAGAGGGCCCAGCTGGCCTGGGCTTGGCTTCTCTGGGAGCTCTCAGCCTGATTGCTTTCTGCCCAAGACCCACAGGCCCGGGATGTCTGGTGGTGAGGAAGAAGAGCACTGTTGATTTGATTGTTGGGCCTGGGCTGGGGAGGTCCTAGGTGTTAGACGGGTCCTAGGTGCCTCCTCTCCCAGGGCTCAGGACCTCTGTCATCTCCTGCAGCCTCCTTATGTTGGAGACCTTGCCAGGCACAGGAAGGGACATCCTTGGGCAGAGCAGGCAGGCTCCCTGGTGGCTGCTCCCCCCTACCTGGAAACTTCCACACGTGATGCCCAGTGTGTGGTGACAGTTGGCATAGGGGGACCCCATGTCCAAGTCCTAAGAACTTGATGAAGCTGCATGGATGGTGTCAGTCTAGGCAATTTGTTCACATTATTGTGCTGGTACATTCACTGTGGGTTAATGTGCTGTGGCACTTTGTGACTTAGGCATGTCCTGGCAGCTGATGATTTCATTTTGGGGATTTGTGCTATGACTCAGGTCATGACTCAGTAGGTTCCCCATATACATTTGTGTTAAGACTCCCAGTGGAGGCCTGAAACTATAGCTAGTACCAAATACGCTATGCCATACTGATAACCAAGATGGCTAAGTGATTAACTGGGGGGTAGCATATACAGCCTGGATCTGCTAGACAAAGGGATATTCGTGTCCCAGGTAGGATAAAATGAGATGATTTAGGTCTTCATCACACTATTCAGAACAGCCTAAAATTGAAAATTTATGAGTTATTTTTGGAATTTTTCATTTACTATTTTCAGAGCGTGGTTGACTGCAGGTAACTGAAACCAGGGAATATGACAGCCAGAAACACTAGGCACATTGGGGGATACCCAGGAAGTTCATTTTACCTGCTGCCTTTTAATAGCTTTTTTGAGATTGAATTCACAGACCACCCAATTCACCTATTTATTTATTTTATTTATTTATGGCACTGGGGTTTGAATTCAAGAGTGTTGCACTTGCAAAGCAGGCACTGTACCGCTTGAGCCACACCTCCAGTCCATTTTTGCTATGGTTATTTTGGAGATGACGTCTCTCAAACTGTTTGCCCAGGCTAGCCTCAATTCACTAGCCTCCCAGCCTCAGTCTGGCAAGTAGCTAGAATTACAGGTGTGGGCCATGAGCCCCCAGCCAGTTCACCCATTTGAAGTATAATCTAGTGCTTTTTAGTGTAGTCACAGAATTGTGCAACCAATGCCACAACTAATTTTAGAACATTTTCATCACCTCCCCCAAAAGAAGCCCACTGCCTTAGGCCATTGCCGCCCAATCCTGTCAACCTTCTTCCCCTCCACCCTGAGCAAATACTAATCTATTTCCATCGTTACAGACTTGCCAGTTCTGGACACTTCACATACATGGGATTCCATTGCCCCTTTTGTGGTGCCGAGGGAGATGGGGTGGTGGGCTGGGGTGCTGCAGGGTGGGGCTGTCTGTGGCCCAGCTTCTCCTGTTGCTGGCAGGTGGAGGAGAATCGCCAGTACCGCATGCATAGCCTGCAGCACAAGGTCGCCAGCTCCATCTACATCAATTCACGCAGTGTCTTCCTGCGCACAGAGCAGCCCGAGGGCCGCTATGTTATCATCCCCACCACCTTCGAGCCAGGCCACACTGGAGAGTTCCTGCTCCGAGTCTTCACAGATGTGCCCTCCAACTGCAGGTACTCAGGGGCTGCATCAGCTAGAGGCTGGTGGGGGTGCAGCCCACGCGGGGCAGGGGTGCTTAGTGTCTGTCTGCCCAAGGCGTGGAGCCCAGGCATCCATTCCCCACGGGCTGGCCCCTGTGTACACCTCTTCCTCTCTCTTTCCCTGCCCCAGCCTCTCTTGGGCATGGCTAGCAACTATGGCTCACACGTGTACAACACTCTACAGTTTACAAAGAACTGTCACTGACCTCATTTGGTCTTCACACCCCCCTAAGCACCAGGCCTAAACCACTCCATTTTACACAAGAAAACAGGGGCCAAGGCTAGAAAGGTTGTCCAAGGTCATGCAGCCAGTGGTATGTCAGGCTGGCCTCCCTACCCAGCCTGATTCCAGGGTCAGGGTCTTGCTACCACTGTCCCCTGTCCCATGGGAGCTGGCTCTGAGGACCAGTGGACTTCTGAAACCATCCCATCTCTGCTGGGGTGTAGGCCCTGTGCACCCTATACTGCTCTCCCCATCTCAGTATGCAGCCCAGACTCGCTGTCCCCAGAAGGACAGGTGGGCCCTGCCCACATTCCAGGCCCAGGAAACAGCTATGGTATGTAGAGTCAGGTGGCCCCAGGCCACTGCTTTCCAACCGTGTGGGCAAGGGCTCCCCACATGAGCCTGATGCTCCCTAATCTGTAATATGGCAGATAACAATCACTTGTCCCCAGGGCTTTGTGAGGTTTAGAAATGACAGGAGTAATGCCCGGCAGAGGGTGTGGTGTGTGGTGCTTTTCCTTGCGGGAGGTTGGCACGCCGTGGAGTAGAGACAGAGAAGGGAGGGAGCCCACTGGGTTGAATGGTTGGGGACTCCCCGGGAGGATTGGCTCAAGACTAAATACTGCTCCTCTCTTTCCCCTTCCTTACTTTTTGAACCCTCTGCTCATGGCTGTCTTCCTGGCACCCCTCTGCTTCCTGTCCTGCTCTGAATCAGGGAGCTGCGCCTGGATGAGCCCCCCCGCACCTGCTGGAGCTCGCTGTGTGGCTACCCTCAGCAGGTGACCCAGGTACATGTCCTGGCGGCTACTGGCCTCAAGGACTCTTCGACAGGTGAGCTCATGTGGGGAAAGCCCCTGGCCCTCCTGGTGGTTGCCTCTGGCTCTCTCTCCTCCAGCACAGATCCCAGCCTCCAGAGCTCTCCTGTACACTCCAAATCAGCAAGCTTTTCCCGACATCCACTGCAAGCCCAGGTGTCGAGTGATGCCGAGCATACACGGTGACAGATCGGGAGCTCCTCATCCCAGGAGCTCCCATGTGGTAGGGGAGTCAGATACTAGGACACATAGGCCTGGGAAGGCAGAGAGAAAGCTTCCTGAGGGAGACAGCTTTCCTCTAGACGAAGGAAGTATAAAGCCTGGGGAGAAGGTATAGGGGAGGGCCAGGTATGGTGAAGCACACCTGTAATCCCACAATGAGAGAGGCATAAGTAGGAGGATCCCTGTCTGAGGGCCTGGGCAAAATTGCAAGATGGTATCTGAAAAACAACTAAAGCAGACAAAAAAATAAGAGGGGGGCTGGAGGTGTGGCTCAAGTGAGTTTAAATCCCAGTACTGAGAGGGAAAAAAGGGGATAGTGAAGGGCTGCAGATGTGGCTCAGTGGCAGAGCACTTGCCTAGCATGTGTGAGGCCCCAGGCTCAACCTCCAGCCCCACATCATCCCCCAAAAAAAGAGAGAAAGGGAGAAGAAAGGGGAAGAAGGAAAGTGAGGAAGGAAGAGGAAGAAAGGAAGGAAGGAAGGGAGGAAAAGAGGACGAATAGGTGCCCAGGCAGAGGGCACAGCCTGTTGAAGGGCCTGGGGGCCAGAGATTATCAGTGTGCCCCTGCCATCTTCCATCTTTGGAAGTTAGAGGACCCTGAGGTGGGTCAGGTTCTGGTCTCCCCTTCTACTGAACCACGGAGCCCAGACAGGCATCTCCCCTTCCCTCCCAGACACCTGTCCCACCCTGGCCCTGCTCCAGTTCTATGCTCACCAGGTTCCCACTCCCTCTCTCTAGGGGCCAACTCTTATGTGATCATCAAGTGTGAGGGGGACAAGGTCTGCTCAGCTGTGCAGAAAGGGACCGCCACACCTGAGTACAATGTGAAAGGCATCTTCTACCGCAAGAAGCCGGGCCAGCCCATCACCATCCAGGTGAGCCCAGTGGACTCCCGGCCTGAAGCCTCCACTGAGAGGGGCAAGGCGGACGGCAGAAGAGCCTTCAGCGGGGACCTGGAGTGCCAGGTTCTGGCTCTCCTTCTGTCCCTGACTCCTGGCATGGCCTTGGAGGTCTCTTGCCTGCCCCTCCTACCACTCCCTCCTGCCCACCCCTCTATAGGTGGGTAGTTGGATTAGTCAGGGTCAGTCCCCTGGTTGGGACAGTGGCTGTCTCTGCTGTTTCTCTGAGCCCTGTGAGTGGATACACCAGGAAAAGTGGCATTGAGATGGCATGTTGTGGCTGTGACTGTTTCCTGGAACTTGGAACAGGGGGTCGGAAAGCCAGTGTCCGTGGGTGCAGCTGTACTCCCCTCTCAGGCCAAGGTGCTGGCACACAGTGATTCTAAACTCATGAGCAGGATGCTTTCTGTCCCCCAGGCCCACCTCTCTGGGTGAGAAACCATCTGTAAACAGACACTTGGTACCCCGGGGGAGTGGGTTTTCCAAATTTTCCTAATACTAGGTCCCACTAGAGCAAATCACAGACCTACAAATGTGAGGGCTGGAAGGACTCCTGGGACAGTGAGCCAGCTTTTGTATTAAACATGGGAAAACTAGGACAGGGGGCACATCACTCGTCCAAGTTCACCCAAGGTCAATGGCAGAGCTAACAATGACAGATTGACCTATGACAGACAAGGATACCTAGGCTCTGGGATGGGCGTGTCCTGCCAGGTTCACCCGGAGGCAGACCATCCAGCACCTCCTCTCTTCAGCCTGGCTTGCACAGTGGGAATTGAGTTCCAGGCCTTACTACCACCACTGGCACCCACCACCGAATGTATTCCTGGTCTGGGAGATGGCTCCTCCCATGATCCTCTGTCTCCTCCCAGATCTGGAACTACCATGTCCTGAAGGATGAATTCCTGGGTCAGGTGCACCTGAAGGCTGACCCGGATGACCTCCAGGCCCTGCACACCCTCCATCTCCGAGACCGCAGTAGCCGGCAGCCCAGCGACTTGCCGGGCACCGTGGCCGTGCGCATCTTCAGCAGTGCCTCCCTCACAGCTGTCTGACACCTTTTCATCTATCTGACCCAACAGTTCTTACCACCACCTGCATGTCCCCACCATGCCTGGGTCCAGCCTAGGAGCAAGACACCGGGGTCCTTTTCTCACTCTTCCACTGCCTTGCTGTGTGACTTTGGGAGATCTCTGCCTGTCTCTGAGGACCCCAAAGCAGTCCCTTCTCATGGGTGGGCGTCTTCTTGCCTGAGGTTTAAAGTATCCCTCCTCGCCCCATCATCTCCACTGCTAAGGAATTCTATCCGTTGAAAATGTTTCCCAGGTCCTGCTGTCTGCCAAGGAGTGCCAAGAAGATGTCACTTGTTTACACATAAACTGCCATGTCCCCAAGCCCCATTCCTGCTCCTTGTTTCAGAGGCCCACCCAAGTCTCCCAGGCCTCCACTTTCTCTGGCACCTATGCCTGGTTTTCAAGCCGCCTTGAAAGGACTGTTCTTGGGCAACACTGGGTTCTTGCTCAGGCTGGAATTGACTGTTCCTTCTGAAGCATTCCCCTGCATTTATTCCCTCAAGGGAAATTTGAGACATGAGTCAGGGGTGGACTGGTCAGGTGGAGCAGAGCCTCTACCCTGGCCTCTGCCTCGGACCTCACCTCTGTCCTCAGGTCTTCTCAGAGACAGAGGCCCAGCCAATGGCCAGCCATCTAACCCATTCTGAGTCGACTATTCCCAGCCTCTGGTCTGAGACCTCTGGAGAGGTATGGCCATGGTGGTGAGGAAGGAGCAGCTTTCTGCCTCCATCCTGGTGTAGAACAATGATGTCCAGATAATGCACTAGGGCCAGGAGGATGAAGGGCCATGGAGACCCAGAGAGAGGCACACAATCCCCTCTGCTGTAAGACCCCAGCTTTTCCTGGAAGAAAGGACTCTGGGGTAGGTGGTGCCAGGCCCACAGGGATGGGTCACCTATTGGGCATTGCAGGAGATAGGTAACTCCCTCTGCCAACATTCCCCCAAACAGCCAAGGGGGCCACAGTGCTCTTCTTGCTGCCAGGACCAAAATGTTTCTTTTAGTCCTCAATGTTTTTAAAAATCTCACTTTTAATCCGGGAGAGCCTGAATCCCCTTTTTCCTTCTTGAGCTCCAATTTTGAGGGTCCTCTGGTTCTATTTTGGTACCACATGGGGAAGGACATGGCAAAGATGGACCTTCTCAGAGGAGGGTGAAGGCAAGCATGTGTGACGCTGGGCATCTTCAGGCTCTTGTTAGTGCTGGTGCTGTGTCCAGTTTTGGCTTCTAGACCAAGCATAGCAGGTGAAGCCATGCAGTCGATTTAAGAATGACAATTCCTTTTGGGAACCAGAATCTGGTACTCCAAGGCTCCCTGTGGGGTCCAGGGTGGGTCCGGCTGGAGGTGCTGGATTCTGACTTTGCTGCCTCGCTCTACTGCTGGTTCTGTTCCTGGGTCCTGGCCATGGAGGGACCAGGATCTAAAAGACAGGAGGACAAAAGGATTCCTTCTTGAGAACTGAGGCTTCCCTTTGGGATCCTGGACATCCCAGAAACCTCCTGTGCCTCAATTTCTCCCTCTGCAAAGTGGGGCCAGTGACTCCTATTTGTCAGCACTAAAAATGCCAAGGAAGTGCAAGGTAACCCCTTAGTGTACCATGCATACTACATGCACCTTCTGTAATCACTTCTCAATGGCTATCAAAAGTTAAGTCTCCTGAGTCAGGGATGGAGGGGTGTGCCCCATGTAAGCCAGAATGAATCTTTGCTCAGCCATATCCCTCTGGGACACAGGGAAACCAGGACCAAGTGGCAGACCAGTGTGGGCTTCACCTGGGGGCTGGGCACTGCCTACCACCCCCAGAACTGGTTCAGTAGCCCTTCTCTCACCTCCTGCCCCTCGAGGTAGGCCAGGCTGGCTCCTGGCTGTGCAGGGATGATCCCAGGAGACCCTGGGGACTGGGCAGGTAAGGATGGGGGATGGGTCAGGGAGAGCAATTGCTTTGTTCACTTTTGCACCCAAGGGGCTATGCATCTCCTACTTGCACATAGGTGGGCCTGCAGCCCATATCACCTTGACTTGGGCTTTTCTCTTCTCAGGGCCCACCACGAGATGGGGAAAAAGAGCCCTGTTCTGTTCTCAGAATAAATATTATTGCAATTCCAGAAAGACTTTCCTGTGTCTATCCCTCTGGGGGGAAGGGAGACAATGGGTTACTGCCCTCTGGTCAGAGGGACAAACAAGGGAGGACTTGGGAGTCACCACTGAAGTTGGGCCTGCTGCCTGCCAGTGTGTCTTAGCTAAGATTGGTGGAATCCTTTGGCTATTTCTGCAAGCCTCAAATCCGTGGGGCTGGCTTTGCTGAGCTTGGACCGCCCCAGACCCTGGGGAAACAGTCTTTATTCTGGAAGAGTCTACCAACTGCTGGTGAAGACACGGATCCTCTGATCATGAGAGACACTGCACAGGGTTGCTGATAGGCCAACATGGGACTTACTGAAAGTTCTTCAGCTGTCTTGGTAAAGTGGAGGCAGCTGCGTGAAGGGCCACAGACAAGAGATGGGCCTGTGGGACACAGGCAGGTATAGGGGCCACAACATAGCTGTTGGGAGTTGCTGGCAGCTCAAGCTAGGAAGCCAGGTGGCCAGTGGGGAGAAAACAGGTCGGGATGGATTTTGAAGGCAGAGTGGACAGAAAATGATTGGAGTTGGGCTAGGGGGTGTGAGTACAGGGTGAGGACAAGATGAACCAAAGCCGCTTCTGCCGTGGCTTGGATGTGGTATCCCACAAAGATTTCTGCTAGAAAGGAGGTCCTCATGGTAGAACCTTAGGAGAGGTCTCGTGGGAGTCAGGAAGGATGAGACTAGATTAGTTGCAGTGAGTGTAGCCCTGGAGCTTATACTTTCCGGTCTCCAAAGCAGCCAATATAAGTGTCATTTTCTTATGTGGCAGTACCCAGTCTCGTGTTTTTATTACTGCAAGACAGATTCCTAGATTTCACCTCTGCCCTGACACCTTTCACCTGTATTCTGCCCGGGCTGACAGCCCTGTGCGTCTGGTCCGTGTGCTGCAATCTGGGTCTTGTTTTCCCCATCTGTGTGGGCCTAGGCCACGTGCCCTGCCCAACTGGAAGCTAGGGGGATTGAAGAGATACAGGTGCTAAGTATCAGCCTCAGGTGTAAGTCACCCTTCCCAAGATGGTGTACAGCTTCACTGCCAGTGGCTGACCTTGGAGCCTGTGCCCAGCGGGTGGCGCTGTTGGTCCTCCCTGGATCCCCAACCCACCTGTGGGCAGTTTCCCTGAATACACAATCCAAGTACAGAAGCTGAGGATCCAAAAAGTACCCCCTGACACACACTCCACTGAGGGGCTTAGAGAGTGGCTTCGATGAGGCCACTGACGGCTCTGGACAGGAAAAAGTCCAGGTCTAGGAAGAAGCCCTCCAGGCCTCTGTCTCACGGACATTAATAACACAGTTTGTATGCTCCCCACCCCCTTGTTTATGGGAGAGGGGTTGCTCCTAGTCAACTGGCTTGGCAGAGCTTCTCGACGTATGATTGCAGCCCAGCATGCACACCCCCCTCACAGAACAAGTTGTGGGGCTGGCATTGAATGGAGGTGCTTTAGGGGGACAAATTTGAGGGAAGGATCTGGGGCACAGGTGGTGTTTGTCCAGGGAGAGCAGAAGGTGCCAGAATGCAGGGCTTGCTTAGTTCACACCCACTGCCATGCCTGCCTCACCAAGCCCTCTAGGGTCTCAGACAGCCATGTTTTGGAGGAACGCCTGCAAAGCAGTGACCAAGCCAGGAACTTCCTGCCCAGGTAGTGAGAGAGCAGACAGTGGTAAAGTGAATGACAGGAGGCAGCTGAGGCCAGCCTGGGTCTCCTTTTCTCCATCTGTGTGGGCCCAGGTCGGAGCCCCACGTTAGTCAGCAGCACCACCTGAGACCCAAGTGTCCTGCCTCCCTGCTGGCTGGGAGCCTCTGGACATTAGCCCCAGCACAGCCCGCCCCCCACGCTGATGTCACCACACCCAGACCTTGAGGCCCCCTCCGGCTCCGCCTCCTGGGAGAAGGCTCTGGAGTGAGAGGAGAGGGTTAGCAGTGCTGTCTGGACAGTCACCCTGGGCAGAGAAGGAGCGACAGAGAGAGGGAGACCCAGAGCCAGACACAAGAGCTGACAGTAAAGCTGCTGAGTCCTCCGTACAGGTGGCAGTTGCTCCCAGCCTGGGGGAGTGGCTGAGAGTGTGCAGCTGGGACCCAGGTAAGGATGGGCTTCTCACCTTTGGCACTGGGACACGGAATTTTGGACTTGGGGGATTCACGGGCTTTCACCTCCTCTGGAGCCCCTGTGCCCACAGCCTCAGCTGGACCTCGGCTGCCCTGTAGCCAGTGATGGGTGTCCTGAGAAAGGAAGAGCCAAGGGGCATGATGTCATGGAATTGTTTCTGAGCTGCACCAGGGGCACAGATATGCTGGGTGGCAGAGAGAGAGACCTCTTGACCCTGTATCTTTGTCATCTTTGATCTCCTTCTGACAGTCTCTCTCCTTGCATGAGTCACTTCCTCTCCCTTGTCTCAATTTTCCCATCTAGTCTATGGGACTATGAGGCCCACCAGCTGGGGCTGCTGTGGGGCAAGGTAAAAATCGGGTATGGGCCCAAAATATAAATACAGCCTGTGTTCCCTGTTGTCAATGAGAGAAGCAGCAGACTTAAACATGGTCTGGCTCTTTTAAATGTCTATCTTGTAGTTTTTCCTAATGTATGGGCCTTCGGTGCTGTGCCATCACCACCTCCAAGGCCATGGAAGCATTGGTCTGGCACAGGCTGGCGTCAGATGCTAGCTTGGTGGTCCTGGAGTTCTTTTCAGACTTGGCCCCCTGGCAGCTGTCTGCTGGCCCTCACTGACTTCTCTTCCCTGCCAGGCATTCAGGCTGGTACAGGGCTCCAGGAGGACTGTGTGCCTACTGAGACCCAGAGCCCAGGGGTCAGGGCTCAGGTGTCAGGCAGTGTCTTAGGCAGAGGATCAAATACCCCAGTGCCTCTGCAAGGTCCCTTGTGAAAAATTGATGTTCATCCTGGGAGGAAGGTCGTGGGGCAGAGTGGCCTCATGCCAGTGACAGGACTGCCTCTGACCATCACACTCCATTCCCCAGTCCTTTCTGAACCCATCTGGCCTGGGTCTCTGCTAGAGAACTGGCCAGGCTATGCCCTGGATCAGCTCTCTGGCTTTAGGGAC